AATCATGGAATGATGGGATCATGGAGCCATGGAATTGTGGGATGGATGAGGTTGGGAAAGATCTCCAAAAACATCAAGGTCAGGGTTTGAAAATCATGGAATGATGGGATTGTGGAGCCATGGAATTATGGGATGGCTGAGGTTGGGAAAGATCTCCAAGAAGGTCACGTTGTACCTTTGGGAATCGGGGAATTTTGGGGTCATGGAGCCAGGGAATTGTGGAATTGTGGAGTCACGGAATTATGGAATCTCGGGATATTGGGATTCGTGGATCAGGGAGGGATGAAATTCTGGGATCGTGGAGTTGCGAGGTCATGGAGCCACTGACGGTGGGAAAGACTCCAAGATCATCAACGCGACCTTTGGGAATCCGGGAATCCAGGAATGGTGGGAGCGGGAGTCACGGAATCGCGGCGTTCCGGAATCCCGGAGCCACCGAGCGCTGGGATCACGGGAACCTGGGATCGTTCCCGTCGGGAAAGATCTCCAAGACCACCGAGCCCGAACCTTGGGAATCACGGGACAGGGAACGATGGGATCAGGGAATTATGGGATGTCGGAATTTTGAGCCGTAAACTGTCGGGACAGCGGAGTCGCAGGATTGCCGGAACGTTGGGATAAAGAATTCCTGGAATCAATGGATCCATGGTTGGAAAAGACCCTCAAGGCCACCAAGCCCAACCTTTGGGAATGTTGAAATTAAGGAATTCCGGGAACTGGAATTTCTGGGACGAGGGAATCGTTGAGCCGAGACATATTGGGATGACGGGATCGTGGGAATGTTGGGATAAGGAAATCCTGGAATTCTGGGATGGCTGAGGTTGGAAACACCTCCAGGATGGTCAAGTTCAGCCTTTGAGAATCCTGGAATGACAGAATTCTGGGATCTTGGAATTCTGGGATCAAGGAATCACCGAGTCAGGAACTGCCGGGACAGCAGCATCGTGGGAACGCCGGGACACGGAAATCCTGGAAGCACAGGATCGCTCGGGGTGGAGAAGACATCTAAGACCATCGAGCCAAACATTGGAGACCCCTGGAATGATGGGATGATGGAATTATGGGATCATGAAATAATGGGATCATGGAATCGTTGAGTCATAAATGATCGGGATAACAGAATATTGGGATCATGGAAATATTGGGATAATGACATTTTGGAATTGTGACATCAATAAGATTGGAAAAGACTTCCAACATCAACAAGTTCAGCAGTGGAGAATCCTGGAATTTGTGATCATGGAATTCTGGGATCATGGAATAGCTGAGTCATAAATGATCGGGAGAACAGAATAATGGGATGATGGAAATATTGGGACAATGACATTTTGGAATGGTGGGATCAATAAGACTGGAAAAGACTTCCAACATCGACAAGTTCAGTCTTGGAGAATCCTGGAATTTGTGATCATGGAATTATGGGATCATGGAATCGTTGAGTCATAAATGATCGGGAGAACAGAATATTGGGATGATGGGAATATTGGGATAATGACATTTTGGAATGGTGGGGTCACTAAGACTGGAAAAGACTTCCAAGATGGTCAAGTCCACCCTTGGAGAATCCTGGGATCTTGGAATTGGTGACCATGGAATGCCGGACCCATGGAACCACCGAGTCAGGAACTGCCGGGACAGCGGCATCGCGGGAACGCCGGCACCCGGAAATCCTGGAGGCGCGGGATCGCTCGGGCTGGAGCGGCCCCCCGAGCCCCCCGGCGCCGGGCGATCGCGGCGGGACTCACCCGAGGATCTGGCGCAGGTTCCCGGAGAGGCGGGAGGATCCCAGGTTGAGCTCGCGGAGGCCGGGCAGCATTCCCAGCTGCCCGGCCAGGCAGCGGATCCCGACGGCCGATTCC